CCAAGTGGTTAGGGGGCTTGACTCGCAATCTGACCAGAGGTTTCTCTCGAGTCGTTTAACTTACATGGCCAAGTGGTTAGGGGGCTTGACTCGCAATCTGACAAGAGGTTTCTCTCAAGTCGTTTAACTTACATGGCCAAGTGGTTAGGGGGCTTGACTCGCAATCTGAGGGTCCCCGTCCCTCCAAACATGCTCGCTCTTTCAGCCTTGGGGGTGTTATAACGTGGCGGTAAATCGCACTCTTAGTTGGTAAAACAGTAGCCCAAGAGTTGGCGGTGGGTGGTAATGACTATCTGCCTTCCCTCTGGTTTTTCACTGCTAAATTAGAGACGGCTAGCGCAGATAGCCCTCGTGTAGCTTTGCGCGAAATTCAAAACAAACCTTAAACCGTTTACTTTTGTATTACCATCTTGTAGGAACACTGATATTTTTGAGATATTGTCTCCCCTCCCCAGCGGCTCAGCTGTAAATCTGAAGGCTAATAATAGGGCTAAAACACAGATACAGCCTGTGAAACTTTGCGCTTAACATCAACACAGTGGTACAGCGGTATGTCTGCGGACTTACAACACTAGAAATCGGGTTTCGATACCCGTGGTGGGCAGAGCACAGATAGCCCATTGTGTAGCTTTGTGCTTAACTTCAAACAAACTATCATTAAGAATTTACAGTTTATTCTTGAAACATTGATTCTTTGATTCTTATAGAAACCTACATTAACTAGAAAGCTACATTAAATTCTAGAAGACATTAGGTAACAGAAAACTACATTAACTTCTAGAAGACATTAGGTAACAGAAGGCTACATTAAATTCTAGAAGACATTAGGTAACAGAAGGCTACATTAAATTCTAGAAGACATTAGGTAACAGAAAGCTACATTAACTTCTAGAAGACATTATAGGTAACAGAAAGCTACATTAACTTCTAGAAGACATTAGGTAACTTATAAGAGTACCGATTTTCTCTCGTTCAGCCCCCCGGTGGGTCAGCGGTAAGTTCACGGACTTAAACGCTAAAATCTGGGGATCGATTCCACGCGGTGGACACAACAGATAGCCCAATGTGGCTTTGCGCTAGAACAGACTAACTAGTGTATATTTTGACTCCCGATGTAACGGAAATACTGGTAGGAAGACAACCGGGGGTACTCGGGAACATTTCTGTTTCCCTTCGTCCACGCGAGGTTAAGTTAGGGGCAGGATCTTGGTTGTGAATTTAAGTTTCAGTGGTTCGATTGGTTTTACAAGGCTGGCGGCTCGAAACTCATATACAACAAAATAAATAAGAAGGTTGAATTTGATGGTAAAATTCATCTAGAGATGTCATCCTTCTTATTGGTTCTACCTGGTAGTTCTCAGTGAAAAACTGAATTTGATAGTAAAGTTCATCTAGAGATGTCATTCTTCTTATTGGTTCTACCTGGTAGTTCTCAGTGAAAAATTGAATTTGATGGTAAAGTTCATCTAGAGATGTCATCCTTCTTGTTGGTTCTACTTGGTAGTTCTCAGTGAAAAATTGAATTTGATGGTAAAGTTCATCTAGAGATGTCATCCTTCTTATTGGTTCAACCTGGTATTTCTCAGTGAAAAATTGAATTTGATGGTAAAGTTCATCTAGATATGTCATCCTTCTTTATTGGTTCTACCTGGTAGTTCTCAGTGAAAAACTTGAATTTGATGTAAAGTTCATCTAGAGATGTCATCCTTCTTATTGGTTCTACCTGGTAGTTCTCAGTGAAAAACTGAATTTGATAGTAAAGTTCATCTAGAGATGTCATTCTTCTTGTTGGTTCTACCTGGTAGTTCTCAGTGAAAAACTGAATTTGATGGTAAAGTTCATCTAGATATGTCATCCTTCTTATTGGTTCTACCTGGTAGTTCTCAGTGAAAAATTGAATTTGATGGTAAAGTTCATCTAGAGATGTCATCCTTCTTATTGGTTCTACCTGGTAGTTCTCAGTGAAAAACTGAATTTGATAGTAAAGTTCATCTAGAGATGTCATCCTTCTTATTGGTTCTACCTGGTAGTTCTCAGTGAAAAACTGAATTTGATGGTAAAGTTCATCTATAGATGTCATCCTTCTTGTTGGTTCTAAATGGTAGGTCTGACCATTACTTTCAATAAGATCTGCTTTACATACAGAGAATAGTTACATTATTTTCAAATCACATATTTGTGTGTGTGTGTTTTCATGGGGGGTTAGGGGGATGCTCCTGTGCTAAAATAATAAACAAGAGCATGACGACCATTTGTATTTTGAATCAGAAAGGAACATTAAGTTTCGACATTTCTTGTATATGATAGTGTCGTTTATTCTACTATTGTCTTTCAAAGTGTAATATGCAGATACAACTTAATGCAAGCAATTACTGTTTTCTCAAACTTATCTATTTTAAGTAAAGAACATGAAAGTATAAAGCAAAGAAGAATACATGTAACAATTCAACAGTATGTACACTTAAAAGTTTGTGCATTAATTTTATATTTCTTTTATTTATCAAGTCCAACCGTGTTTCGAAATGTTTTAAAATCATCTTAAGTTTAGAAAAATATCATTGTTTTTAACATTGATTAATTATTACAGTTATTACAATTTTATATTTTTTTTATGGTAAAGCGAACAACGTCAAGGAAAATGTAATAATTAAAAAAACAAAGAACGCGTGATTACAGAAATGTTTTTTTTTTCATTACTTGACATTGAAGAAAAGTACAAATCGTAATTGTTTTCTACACTTACGTAGAAAAAATCTTTGAATCGGGAAAAGAAATGGTTGAACAGCGTCGCCGTTGGAGGAAAATCTAATTTAAAACGAAATTCAGTTGATTTATAAAACAAAGAAAACGATTTAGCTTAATTTTTAACTTTCTTTTCAGATTAATCAAATCTAAGGCACAGTGAGTTGTGTTTCTAGTTCTAATAGTCTGGAAGTTAAATGATGAAAACAAAATTTAACATAGCCTACTACTCTTGTGATTAGCTTTAAAATCAAGTCAATCTATTTTCATTATAATAACAACTGACCTTTTAATGCCTATGTAGCTTTGTGCTGAACTTCAAACAAACAATCCAAAATTTTCAGAGCATGTAAAGCGCTTTTCCAGTTACACCTGTAAGAACGTATCGGCTCTGTAACGAATGTATTTTTTGTATTTGAACTTTGTATTTATGGCAAAGCTATATGGTTGTTTGCTGCCGCTTCTGATTTTGGAATACTGACTAGATGAAAGGCAGCCAGTTTAACAAACCCTAATACCCACCATCCACGCTAAGAGATTGACCGTTACTCTTATAACGCACCGATAGCGCCAAGTGTGAGGAATAACCAGTCAGCAGCACCGTAACATTCACCAGGATTGATTGTCATTCTTATAACGCACCTACAGCTTAAAGTGTGAGGAATATTTTGAGGTATCGCACGGATTTGAACACAGCTCGCAAGATTCGAAATCCAAAGCTCTAGCACTGAGTCGACCCTTGCCCTCTGTAAAGAATGCAAGCCTGATCTTGTGAATATTCTGAACAGTTATTCACCTGAAGACATTTTACTCAACGTGTTTCTTTTTACTTCATAACATAACTTAAGACATACCAACTCCATATTACAGACGGAAATATACCGAGTTTCATCCTAAACCTTTTGTCAACGTATTTTTATCGTAACGTGTTATTAATTGTGAAATAAAACAAAATACATTTTTTACACCAGATGGAGCCATCGACCATTGTTAACAATAACACGGTTTAAGTGTTATAGAAAATTTTTTCCGACAAACTAATTTACAATTTATTATATCAAATCTTATAACACACTAAAAACTGATATTAGTTTATTTCTTATCAGCGCCCCCCAGTGGCACAGCGGTATGTCTGCGAACTTACAACGCTAGAATCCGGGTTTCGATTCCCGTGGTGGGCAGAGCACAGATAGCCCATTGTGTAGCTTTGTGCTTAATTACAAACAAACAAACAATCTTATCAGCGACGTGAAATAGACCCAGCATAACTTAATGCAAATGACCGATAAGAATACGAGTTTTAAAATATTATAAATGTGTTTGCTGTGTATAAAAGTGTAACTAGTTAAAATCATAAATAATATTCAACGTTAAACTGGTACACAATCAGAAACTTTTTATTTAGGCCTATCTATTACAACGTCGAAACATGTAGAGTCATCAACTTTTTGAAGGCCATAGGTAGGCCTAAATAAAATGTTTTTAATTGTGTACCAGTTTAACGTTAAATATTATTTATGATTTTAACTTTATACACAAGTGCCAAAATACTATAATTAGCGTAACTAGTTGTTTGTTTAGTCAGCAAACGTAACTATTACACAGGCCTGCGAATTTAAACTTCATAAAAATGTTGTTTTTTTTTTGTTTTAATAAGGAGGTTTTTCTTAATACAGCTACACAGATTTCGAAAATATTATTCTTTTTTTTTTCTATCACGTAAGGATTTTTTTTTTTTAGAAATCGGGAAGGAAAAAACTCATACTTGGATCAAATTATTATTTTGTTTACCACAATGAACATTTTTTATTATTATGTTTGTTAACAAAAATACTAACAAACTGAAGAAAAGAGAAGAACACTGATGTCCAACGAATATGCATCCTCATTCATACTGATTTTTGTGTGTGTATGAAATCTAGGTCTTTTATTCTCAAAACTACGTGTTGTGGCCTTTCTTTTATATACTGCGTTATGACGTTTTGTGAAAAATATGTACGTGGTGGAGAAAAATGTATATCATTTTCGGATTCAGCGTACAAGAATTACTGCAGGGCATGCAAAAATTGCAAGACAATAAAACAGTCGCAGGCCTGTGTTATTAAACGCTAACTCAGTATCCCTAACAACGTAACGTAAGTCAGACATTTGATGGTCAGCTTGAGGAACATAGAACTACACTCGACAGTGTTGCGAGAACCGCAATATTCTACTCAGAAAAGCGTTAACTCTTAAGCTTATCTACATACAACACTCACCAGTGGTTTGAGTCGCCGAGACGATGCATGGTACCATCAGTAGCAGAAGTGCTGATGGGAAGGTCATGTTATCATCAGTACAAGGAAGAAGAAGCCTTAGTTTACGAACACGTTGATGATGTAGTGCCAGCTCTGGAATGATTGCTCTACTCTTTTCAACGAAAACGATCCGCATGGCTTGTGCCAAAGCTTCAACGGTGTCACGTGATATCGCTCAAGCAATCAGTGCTTCGATTCTTCAGGTGTTTCCAGATGCAAGTAATCAATATTTTCTTTGTTCCTTTAAACGAAGATCTTAGAGAAATGTTGATAGTAAAAAAACAATTATGGTTAGAAAACTATAACACAGTTTACAGTTTTTTTTCATCCCTAGTTTTCTAACCATAATTTAAAAAAACAATTATGGTTAGAAAACTATAACACAGTTTACAGTTTTTTTTCATCCCTAGTTTTCTAACCATAATTTAAAAAAACAATTATGGTTAGAAAACTATAACACAGTTTACAGTTTTTTTTCATCCCTAGTTTTCTAACCATAA